TTTTTTCAGAACCGGGGACTGAACTCAGGCCCTTGCACTTGCCAGGGAAGCACTTATTCCACTGAGCCATCTCCCCGGGCCCAAAGACTTTTTTTTTTAAAGGGTAATAAATTGGGGGGGAAAAAAAAAAAAAAACAAGAATAAGAAAAAAATGTCACATATCTGTCCTGTTACAATTCTGTATATGGTTAGATTTCTAAATTTCTCTGTAAAAATATGTTAATGCTTATTTCTACTTTTATAAAATTATTTTTCCTTTATATTCTGTAAGAACTTAAAGTTCAACATATCAGTATTTGATGGAAAATACCTGTTCCATGATATACTAAAGATGTTTGATATTTAGACAGACAGGGTAAATTGAACTGCATATATTGCAGGTTAGTAATAAGCTTCTCTTCTGGAGGGTTAACAACCTAAGTTAGCAGATCCAAATTGGAGAAAAGGAAGGGCTGCAAGGTCAGCCAACATTTTGGCCCTAGCCTTTCAAGGTCAGTGAAGATTCAGGACATAAGAGAACCTGTACTGTAACAACATGTAATTCAGTTGTGCTCCAAATTTTCTGATCAAGAAGATTATGGAGCCATAGAGGAATGTGATCGATGATGTATAGTGTGCCTGGGGAGAGTCACATGGAGAGAAAAAACATTTTTCTCAGGCTTTCACAGAGAGCAAGTTGGTCAAGCAGTGGCCATGACTAGCGGTCTATAATATTAGTGGGTTATCCTCCATGAAGACTGACACTGACAAAGGGTCCACAAAGTGCAGTACAGGGTTACAGGATAAATCCTGAGAGTACTTGACTGACCTTATCAGATACAAAAGTTACATTTCTTGTTATATAGGTCTTGCTTTATCTTGGTCTTAACCATCCCGCAGAAAAGTATAAAAACAAGGTATATAAAGTAAAGCCATATTAATACGATGAGCTATAAAAGGCTCAAGTCAATAACTTCTGAGGATAACCCACTAATATTATAGACTGCTAGACAGTGTTGGATTGTTTAACTGAATTTAAACACCTATAGTATTTAGATGCCAATAGAATATCCACCTCTGACAAGACTAAAAAAGGGGATACAAAGGAAAGATCATTTTGTATTATATATACAAAGTAGTTAGGATAAATATACAGCTACTTTTGCTTAATTCAGTGAGAAGAAAGAGGTGTACTAATAGTGTTTGGAGAGGATATCCTGTCTGCTTCTTGTACTATGGCTAACCACTGAGAAGATAACAATGTACAATGTGTTGATTATTGAAACTGTCCTATTAATCAGCTTTGAAGCTGTCTCATTCATATTTATTTCTCAATTAAAAAAATAAAATAATTAAAAAAATAAAATTTTTTAAAAAACCAAACAACCAGGCTGATGAGATGGCTCAGTGATCTAAAGCACCTACTTAGAACAAGCTTAGCAAAGCACAGGGACCATGGTTCAATCCCCCAGCACCACATGCCAGTCAGCCCTGCCCCCTGGTGGGCTGAGCTGGCCACACACACACACAAATAAATTAATTAAAAACCCAAACAACCTACTGGTGGGGCCAGAGATGTAACTCAGTGGTACAGTGCCTACATGGCAAGTGTGAGGTCCTAAGTTTGATACCTGATACCTGCCCCCCCCCCCAAAAAAAAGAAAAACCCTAATAGTGCTAGAGGGAGTGTTTCTGTGTGTAGAGTGCTGCCTTATAAAGACCATGTCCCTTTCTCTTGGAAGCATGGCATTCAGCCAGAAGATAGTTATTAGCTGCTACTTGTAGAGTTTGTGCTAATAAGAACAATCCAGGGCCAGCCAGATAGCTCAGTGGATTAAAGTGCCTGCAAGCAGGCGTAGGGGCTGGGGGGTTCAATCCCTGGGCCTGCTGTGCCTGCCCCACTCCTAAGCTTGCTGAGACAGCAATTGAGACTGGGTGTGGTGGTGCATGCCTGTAATCCCAGCTCTTGAGAGGCTGTAAACAGGCAGATCACTATGAGTTCGATCTATTAGTGAGACCCTAAACACCCTGTAGATTCTTCCCTAAAACTTAAAAAAAAAAAAAAAAAAAAAAGAGAAACAATCCATGTAAGTTCTGATATCTGAACACTGTTTTACCTTCTAGTATTTCAAATAAGAATTAAAGCGTCATTCTTTTTTTTTTTTTTTTATGGACCTGGAGATTGAACTCAGGCCTTTGTGCTTGCCAAGGAAGCACTTTTTCCACTGAGCCATCTCCCCAGCCCCTGTCATTCTTTTTTTTGGGGGGGGTCTACTGGGGATTGAATTCAGGACCTTGCGCTTGCCAGGCAAGTGCTTATTCTACTGAGCTATCTCCTGGCCCTAAAGTGTCATTCTTTAGAAGATGAAGGAAGGGTGGCATGGTGGTGTAGACATGTAATTGAAGTGCTCTGGGAATCTGAAGCAGGCATATCATAAGTTTGAGCCCAACCTGGGCAATTTAGAAACTTAATGAGATCCTGCCTCAATTAAAAGAACTGAGGTAGCTAGGTGTGGTGGGCATGCCTATAATTCCAGCATTCCAGAGGCTGAGGCAAGAGGATCATTTTGAGTTTGAGACCACCTTCCACTACATAGTGAGTTCAAGGCTAGCCTTGAACTGTATAGCAAGACCCTGTCTCAAAAAGACAAAAGAGCTGGGGATATAGCTCAGTGGCATAAGCACCTGCCTGGCAAACACAAGGTCCTGAGTTTGATCCCTGGCACTGCTAAAAAGAAAGGTGGGGGAGAGGGGAGAGAGAGAGAAAAAAGGGTAAGGATGTAGTTGAGTGGGAAAGTACAAAGTATGGGGTCCAGGGCTCAGGAGATAGCTCAGCTGTCCAAGGCCTACCTGGCAAGTTCAGTGACCTGGATGTGATCCCCACTACTGCATGCTTCACCACCCCTTGCTGACCTGCTACCAAAACTGGAAGTGTTGGCACATGCCTGTAATCCCAGCACTAAAGGAAGGCGGAGACAGGAGGATCACTATGAGTCCAATCTGTATAATGAGACCCTGTGCCAAATAAATAAAAGATTAAAACGAGGGAGGTGGTGAGATAGCTCAGTGGACTAAAGTGCCTGCTTAGCCAAGTGTAGGCAAACGGGGACCATGGTTTGATCCCTGGCACCACATACCACACCAGCCCCATTCTCAGGGCAGGCTGAGCTGCCACAGAGTCTGGCATACACCTGTAATCCCAGCGCTGGGGAGGCTGAAAACCGGAGGATCATTATGAGTCCAAGCTGCATAGTGAGACTCTGTAGCAACCAAATACATTAAAAAAAATATATACAAGATCCAATTTCCAGCCCAAAAAAGAACAAAAGAGAGAGAAAAAGGAAAGAGAAAGAAAGAAGGCTAGCAAAAGATAGCTCAGTGGACTAAGCACCTGCTTAGGCAAACATAGGGACCAGGGTTCAATCCCAGCACCACGTGCTGTGCTGGGCCCACACCCCGGGTGTAGTGGTGCATGCCTGTAATTCCAGCGCTGGGGAGACTGAGACAGTAGGATCACTGCTAGTCTGAGCTGCATAGTGAAACTCTGTACCAAATACATTAATACAAAGAAAGAAATCGAGAGTAGTATGTATTCTGAGAAACTTTCCCAGTGACTATTACTTGCTCTACATGTTCTTTCCTGGGACCAGTGTCAGGGCAAAGCAAAGCTGTAATTGGGAGTTGTTAGAACTCTCTCCAGTGAGCTCCTAGAGAAGAGGATGGGATCACAGGAGGCCATACCACTCACAGAAATAGAGCCTACTTGCCTTTGTCTTGGGAGTACTGGACTGAGTAGGCCAGCACTTCTGTTTGCCTGTTCCTCTTTGGAAGCAAAATGAGAACTGCCATTTATTGAGCACCTATTGTAGGAGCCTCTCAGGGTTAATACCACTCAAAGGGTATTAGGACCTTCACTTACAGACCAGGGGAAGGAGGCCCAGTAGGGGCTCTGTTCTGTCTTGGGACCTGCAGAGTAGAGAACAGAAAGAGTTTGGATGATCCTTCAGTTCATGAACGTGATGATTGGGTGTTCATGCCTTATGCATGAGATGTGCCTCTCTCAAACCTTGTTACGTTGTGGGCACATTACCTGTTTGATGTGGAAAAAAAAAAAGTTTGGATGAGCTCTGTCAGATTCCAGAGCCTTTCTCTGTTATTCAGCTTTTTACCAGAAGGTAAGAGAGTCTGTTTAGGCTTGAGAAAAACCCACATTAGCATCAAAATAGTATGGGATCTAGGTGTAGTTTTACACAGCTTGCTGTTTCCCCCCTCAGTGCAGGGACCTCCCTTTGTCCCACCTCTGCTGCTGCCTGTGTGCCTAGAGTTTGGTCTTGTTTACCATGTGGCAGCATTGCCTGTGGCCTGAGGTGAACCCCTTAGGGTTCTTTGGTCTGCTTTTTTTTTTTTTTTTTGCTAAGTGCATAGTGTGCCTACCATTTATTGGCCTTGGCTGAGCAGGACTTTTGGGGTAATGGGTCTGTACCCTTAAGCCAGAGTACCCTGGTTCTTGTTTAGAAATGGGACTCAGATCTCTGAGGGCTGCCCTTGGCCAGATTTTTTTTTTGGTCTCTTGTGGCTAGAAACCACACAAAAGACTGTGTAAGCTTACACTGTACTTAGGAACAGCTGTCATTGGCTATCTCAGTGGCCATTGTCTCCCTGAAAGCTGGCCTAAATGGGTTTGAAATTGGGGGTTTCTTCCTTATGAAGGGGCAAATAAGTAAAATATTCATCACTGCTGGAGCTGGGCCTGCTGTGGGCATTGTCAGGTCTCCGAGTTCTCCTGGTGAACTGGTGTCAGCAGGATCAGTATACTTCCTGAAAGAAAGCTGAGAAATCTAGTGAGACTCACTAAGTGTCACGACATGGGAAATACTGTCTCTTCATAGTTCACACACACTGTGTGTGGCATCCTGTAAGGACCATGGGCCTTTTCAGTTCCTCAACGAGAAAGTCAGGACTTTGGTAGGCCAGAGCCCTTAAGCCTGTATTATTTTTCCCTACTGCAGAGAAAGTCAAGCAAAGCAAAGGAGAAGAAGCAGAAGCGCTTGGAGGAACGTGCAGCCATGGATGCCGTCTGTGCCAAAGTGGATGCTGCCAACAGGGTGACTGCTTTCCATTCCTTGCTTCTTGGAACCTCAACTTGGCTTTTAATTTTATTTCTTTTAGCTCCACCCTGTGGCAGAATTGTGATACTACCTACCCAGGCCTCTTGTGGTTTACAGTAGAGGAAAAGTTGGGAGGTGGTGCCAGCTCTTTGTCCAGGTGTTCAGGGAAATGTAGATTTCAGCAATAAGTGGCTTCTTACTGATAGTTTCAGAGAAGAAACCTCTGTAACAAAATATGTATAATTTTCTTTATTTCCTTCAGGATTTTTTTTTCCCCCGGAACCAGGGATTGAACTCAGGCCCTTGCACTTGCCAGGCAAGCGCTTATTCTACTGAGCTATCTCCCTGGCCCCAGATATTTATTGATTACCCATGATATACTGAAGGCTGTCCTGGGCATGAGAGGATATCATGGCCTGGTCTCAAGGATTATAGTCAAGGGAAGAGTAGCTGTGAATTGACACCAGATGGGTAAACTGAACCTGAGAAATTCTAGCCGTCCCTGCCCTCATTCCTTATCTCACATTTTGTTACTCTTTTAGCTCACTTATAATAAATTTTCCACATCTATAAGGTTTCAGTTCAGGAGCATGATTTTATGTTGATATTTGGAGCAGATGAAATTAGTTGAGGGCTTCTTCCCAGAAGTGCTCAAAGGGACCATTTGCCCTCTTTAGATTAGTGGCACTGTGAGTAGGTATTATGCCCATAGCCTGGCAAAATCTGTTCTCATCCTGTCAAATGAAGCTAAACTTAACTCTTGGGCCTCCTTCCTAAGCCTCCCACGTCTATGATTTAAAGATCTGAGGCAGATGGAGGCCCTGTGAGGACTGTTTCTGGGCCCTCCTGTCATAAGTCCTTATAGTGTCCTATTCGTAGACAGCAGGGCTCTTGGGCAGAGCCAGCACTTCTCACCTGTCTATGTTACTCTTCTTTTTCCTTCCCAGCTTGGAGACCCTCTGGAGGCTTTCCCAGTATTCAAGAAATATGACCGGAATGGGTGAGTCATACTGAGCATTTTTATTTTTTTCTCAGTGTTTTGAAACAAGCTCTCTCTATATAGTCTAGGCCAGCCTTGAACTTGTGATCCTTGTGCCTCAGACTCCTGAGTGCTATACCGAGCTAGCTTGCTTACTTGGCTAGCTTGCTTGCTTGCTTGCTTGCTTGCTTTTTCTTTTTTCTTCTTTTCTTTCTTTTTTTTGGCAGAACCAGGGATTGAACTCAGATCCTTGCGTTTGCCAGTCAAGCGCTTATCCTACTAAGCCATCTCCCCCACCCCTCTTTCTTTCTTTCTTTCTTTCTTTCTTTCTTTCTTTCTTTCTTTCTTT